GAACTATATGACAGACAGTAAGGAGAATTAACTAATGAGATCTTGGGAGTTAAAGGCTTAAATGGGGAGGAAATATGAATTTACAAGTACTTATTTTTTTTTTTCACCACAATATTCAACAAACTGCTACAAAACAATTTTGCTGTTAATGTTGTTTCTGCTAACCATCACTGCACAGCAGACAGATCAGGTTTACATGAAGGGAAGTTTAGATTCCACACTTAAAGGTATTTCCATTTACTTTATAACTGAATGAATTTTTTGCATACCTGATGAGTCATGATTACAAAATTCTTGAAGCTTTGTCCAACCATTACTTGTTTCTTTCCATAAAATAACCTGAGCAGTAAACATAAATGTTATTTATCTGATACACAGTCTCAAACATTGCTATCCTATTGTAACCCTTAACGTGTAAGAGTGATAAGAAAATCATTTCTCCTTACATTATCACCCCTGGACCAAACATTCAGGTTATGAGAATTAAAGAAATCATTGCACACACAATAAGCTCTTGATTGTTAGGCAAATTCTCCTTGTAAGCACCAAAGGAAATGTATAGAGAACAGTATGGAGAATATACATACTAATGTTAAAAAAGAGAAAAAGAAAAAGCACTCACCTTTCTATCATAAGAACATGAAGCCAAAAGATTTCCAAATTTAGGATGTGCCCAACTCACTGACCACACTGGGCCTTCATGTCTATTTATAAAGAGTTAGTGTTTTCAATATTACTTTCTCTCACTCTTGTAAGGAAAAAAAAAGCTTTGCAATTCCATGCAAAACAAAGTCATGCAAGCATATGAGCTGACTGGTGAAGTTACATGTACCTCACCTATACTATCCAGTTTTCAACTTAGCCACTTCCCATCTTCCATTTCTTATGTATTCAAAAATTAAAACTGGTCATATCCTCGATCATGTGTTTCAGACAAAATTAGACGCAAGGTTACAATATATCATACTGAGTAGATCTACAGGGTTGTCATTAAAAGATGGTAGGTGGTGGAAACCCACAGGCTGTCAGATCATTTTGTGCCAGCTACATGAATTGGGAATGGAGACAGAAAATGTTTGTTTTTAAAATGATTCTACCATCAATGCATGGCTACAAAGAGTTTCTCAATTATGTCCCAGACAGCTGTCACAACTCACAAAGTTTGGAATTTTTTCGGGAGCATGCCCCCCTGCAAAACAATGCAGCTTGCTACAGAAATATAATTCAATTCAGGTACCTACTTAATTCAAATGGTGTGTCTACTGCATTTTCTATTGACAACCCTGTATCAAGGAGGGTTAGTCTATTCAGACAAAAACCACTTTAAGAGAACAAAGGTTCAAACATTGTTGTGTTGCTTTTCCTGATCAAATTGTGTAAAAGATCGCTCTTTGGTAAGGTTGTCAACATGAGCTAGTAGTAGGCCAAAACTACCAGCAAGTCAACCATAACGCAGTTTACCCATTCAAGTGAACTGAGTGTAAAATTTACCAGAAACAGGTTCAAATGTGTCAATTTATTCCACATTAAGATTTGCTTGAAGGTTTGTATGTGCTCTGCTGAATGCCTGAAAAATTTCAACTGAATTCTTCCGAGTCTTGCATGTACTTTACTCTGATGAAACAACAAGGCCTCCCTGATAATATGGCCACCCTCTACTTCTTACTTTCCAACTACTGTCAAATTTATTAACAGCCTTGACTAGTGTAGTCAGAGATACAGGCTACCTAATTCTCACACTTACCCTCTCAGAGTAGCAACAAGAGTTTGACCCTTTTCACTGATCTCAAAAATTCTTACTGTTCGGTCAGATGAACATGTCGCCAGCTTCTTGCCATAATAATCCATTTGTGCATCATGCTAAACAAATTATAAACAAAGATAATGTGAGAGGTGATCTGCAAATTGTTTTGCAAAAACCATGGTTAGCTAGCAGAGTTGAGAAAATTATGCTTTAGGACTCAACGATGGTTTTATTATAATTAATTTATGTTTGCGATATTCAAACGTTAAATCCGAACATAAAGGTCATTTTTGTACTTCTCACATTTCTGTTTAAGTCAGTTTAATATTTAACTAGCTAGCTAGCATAGTGGATCAAAACTTCCTTTGAAAAAAATCCTTGTATTTTAGAGTTTTGAAAGATGTTCGACGCTGCTAAAAGCCGCTTACAAGTCAGTATTACTACCCCACATGTCCTTTGGTTCATTATTTATCATTTGTAGTATCAACTTCCCGAATCAGTCGTCAATTTTAAAATAATCACACTCGTTTCTGGGAAATTCTGAGACTTCCATGATCTACTCACGATCATATCCTCGTGCGAGGTATCCACTGTATTAAGCACAGACACCTTCATGATGAAGAAGAAGAACACCACATTCAAACAACAGGTTACCAGTTCGATAAATGGTTCCTAAAAGCAATTAAATGCAGGAAAATGCCACAACAATTTATGCCTCACCATTTCTGTCCACTCTCGTTTCTCAACGTGGCAGAACTACCTCGATTTCGGGTCAGACGTAGTAGCAACCGCTCCTTCTATGCTTGGTAACCATGCAAACGAACGAGCGCGCAAATTTGAAAACCGTTCACAAAATGGAGGAAGCTTTGACAACACCTTCAACATCCGCTACAAGTTCTACAAGGGTGGGAAAATTTACTCCTCTTAGTGCTAGGAACAGAAATTCCAAGTCTGCTCGATCTCCTTGGCTTTCAAGAAGGCATACACCATACGTGAAAACACCAAAAACGGGCCGTGCTTCCCGAAGCCATCCAGACGGTGACGGCGGATTGACAGAAAACCTTCGATCGAAAACTGCATCGACCGAAATCGAAAGAAGAACATCAACTCTTAAGGATTCCAGTGGATCACCTAATTTACTACCAAGCAATGTGCACATTGTTGAACAGATAAGAGATCCAGTTCGAGAAATTGTAGGTAAAACACTGCGGGTTCATCAGGCTTCGCCACTTCACAACTTTGATCAGAAGAACAAGAGTTCTCTTGAAACCTATGGGAATCAGCTGTCAGCTTTTCTACAATTGGAAACAGAAAAACAACTTTTAGTTGATGAAAATGGAAATGTCGAAGAAAGAAAATTCAAAGTGCAATTCTCTGTTCATAAAGATATTTCAGCTGAAGGCTCAAAATTTTCAGCTGTGAAAATAATCGTCTGCAGTACTGACAGTCTACGGCTACAGCCTGTGGGGGAAGTAGAACCGCTTGTTCCGATTTTGACAACTCTGTTTTGCTCTGTGGGAAGCGAGGAAGAGGAGGACGCAAGACTTCAAGAACACTTTACCTGTCTACCTATATGCCTCATCAACGGGCCTGTTAATATCTCCAAAAATTTGATCAGTTGGTGTCAAAGCCAGTTTGATTGTAGAATTACTCCAATGACTTTTTCATCAGTCGAACTCGGTTGGTATTTCTCGCTATGGGCTGGCATGTCTTCGCCCGAGAGATCTCCGACAATCGAACTTTGCTATGATGCATCTTCCGTGGCAGGTCTTCGAAGAATCCTTTACAGCATCGAAGGGAAGGATGCCAAACAACTCTGGGACATTGTCCACATGAGCGACTCGTCTATTTTTACTGAAGAAGAATCCGTGATGTTTCTAGAAGCATTGAAGAAGCATTTTTATCATCATTTCAGAATCAATTTGGAAGGACTACCTTTAACAAGAGTGAGAACAGCTGTGGCTTTCATTGCATGCGAAGGGAAGCTTAAAATTGTGCATCCTCGCTTTACTGACCACATCCTAGAGCAGCTGACAAGAGCAGCGTTAACTAAGGAATTTTACGGAAGATTGAGATAAGAATTTTGAAAGCTAAGCTCAGATTCTTGGACAGCAACTAAGATTGTTGGAATTGACTTGATTGAACGCAATCATGTTACAGAAGAAAGCTTGCGTGACAAGGCCACCGAATTTTGCTGCTTTGAAAGACGCTAAAAGAAATCAAATTTCTCCATACATATGCAGCAATACCAGAAAACAATTTTACTAAGACTGGGCGTAAAATAAATGTAATGATTTTATTTTATTTTTTATCTCCTAATCAACTTTTACAAAGTCTTAAATAACTGTTTCATAAGTTTCTATGTGATATTCACAAGTTTTGGAAGGTGGCTAAATTACTGAAACTAAAATGATTATTACTTTTATAAGGTTCAACATGAAACTTTAATGTAAACATCTGGCATTGCTTCTCAAATTATCAAAGAGCTATGGATGTATGAACAAGTTGCAGATAGTTGATGATTTTATATATAAGCTGTTAAACTCAGGGGCAATTGATGTCAGTATCTGAGCAACTGCAAACTTGCCCCTCCACCTACCCAAATTAACCCTTACTTGATATCAGTTGTTGGGTTAGGGGAGGGTTAAGTGTGCTGTTGCTCAGATACTGACATTGATCCTTGATTTCCTACAATGCACACTATAGAATAAAATCACACTGTGTCTCATTTCTGCTCTTGAACTTATTTACAAAATATTTTACAAATATTCAACTCACTTAGAGGTTCCAGCCTCAAGGACACTATCAATGTTGCTAGGCCATAATTAACTAGGTACCTAATATGCCTCTAGTTAAAAACTTATAGTCAATTTATAAATAGAAGGCTTACCGTATGCTATCACATGAACTTCTGCAAGTCTAGGTTTGGCCACATTATAGACAAATACAACCATTCTTGTTGTCTAAATATTCTATTAGAATCACACTTTGTGTTTCAGAGAATTGCACCTAATTGATCAAGTTTAAATTAAACTGATTACAGCAGATTCCCTACTGTAAATATATTTCAGAAGCATTTTAAACTGAATAAAAGAATAACATTTGTCACGAATGTAAAAAATTGTTGCCAAATGGTTTATTTGCTAATGACAGAGTGAAGCAGAAGCCAACAAACCCAAACAACAATGATAATATATCAGGGTTACTTTCCTGATGAAAGCCCAGTTCAGATGCTGTGCTTATGCTGTACCTGAGTCAATCACAATTAGCTTTGACTGTAGCATGACAGAAGCATGACTGATTCAGGCTTCAGTCAAGAGTCATGAGTCAGGATAAACCAAAATCAAGTAACAGGTTATTGTCATAACTTCGGGAATGCAATCCCTTCAAAAAATTTTGTTTGGCTTGTTAGAGGCATGAACAGTATAGAGAATATGCATACTGATGTTAGGTTGTAAAGGGTTTCAAAGATTCAATAGGTAAACTATTTTTGCTAATTACAATTCATTAAATCGCATAGTTCTTCTGGTGTGACATTTCCTCCTGTCACTATAGCAACAACATTACTCCCTTCTGACAAATCAGGAATTTTTTTTGCTTGTAGAGCTGCAAATGCTGCAGCACCAGATGGTTCAACAACTAACCCAGCCTGGTAAAAAGTCTTCACTGCCCTGTAAAAGGATCAAAAGAGACAAAACAAGTCAGCACATCTTGTCCCCAAAAAGGAATGAATACTTTTGTTCCCTACTGGAGGAGAAAAATTTAACCCTTTTAAGCAAAAGATCTCATTAGTAATGCTCCTCACCAGCCTCCATACAACTCTTAAGAAGTTAGTTTCGAGAATTTTAATTTGAATCAACCACCGGTAATAATACCCTTAGTAATTTAATCCTATCAACTGAGTTGATAACGTAAATTGGCCACCATAAAGAGTTACAAAGCTGATGTTTCAAGCCTTAGCCCTTCATCAGAGCAAAAGACAGGACCAATGCTCAAAACATCAGCTTTTTATTCTTAATGGTGGACAATTAACATTATCAACTCAGTTGATTATACTAAATTACCTTGTTACACTCTCCCACTGATACAGCACCACAGTTTCTTCAGCAACTTACCCCCTTCAATAACCCCCTTACTTGTCTGCTTGATATTGTACCAATATTATGAGGAGAAAGTCAGCGTTGGTCACTCATAGGAGTTAAAGGATTAAAGAAAACATGCCCAGGAGCTGCACTGCTCAGAACTAACAGGTAGAATTCAGGTATGGAAAAATAAGTTATCACCACACAGACAAATTTGCCAACCTCTTTATTTCCTCATCTGTCACAAGAACAATGTCCTCAACATACTCCTTCACATGTTGAAAAGTTTTCTTTCCTGCAGAAAGTATCAATATGTTCACAGTTATTGTTAGTAATAAATGATATTATACAATTTAAATGAAATAATATTGACCTCTTCGAGATTGCCACCACATGTGAATGACAAAAACATGCAACAACTGCCAATAGTTCTTCCATTTTACAAGAGGGTGGCCAGGGGTTTTGTGTGATACCTGAATTTTACAGAAAGGGGAGGGTGATTTGTGACTTTATGAA